TTCCTTTCTTTGCAAGCTCAGAATGGGGAAAAGGGTCCTAGAACTCTTATACAGAAAGCTGTTATGTCTGTATTCTGAAGAGTGTCCAAATAGTGGTATTTGGAGCTATTACTGGTGGCTTGGTCATATTGTGCTGACTTTCCTCCCTATTTCTAGTTGGCAAGTGATACATAACTGACGGAAGGGGAAAGTGACACCAAATATACTGCACGCTTAGGTTTTGAGAGAGAGACCATATTATGTACCCAACAAACACAGATGAAAATACATAAATACTTTTATACTAATACTTTTCCATTTGAATAGCTGTGGTCCTTTTCACAGGAGTGTTGCTTTATTAAAAATAGGGAAGCAAGTGATTCATTCAGTTGGTAATGAAAGGGGAGATGATCTTATGAGAGGGACTGGATTAGCCTCTGTGGTACCCACACTTGCCAGTTAGCTTAATAAATTGAAAACTATACATTTTATTCAGAAGAGTTCTCTGGAATTACATGTAAGGCTTCACATAGAAGGCTTGCAAAAATAAAGAACTTTTGCATAGGAGTCTGTTTTGTTTGATATTTTGAATGAGGGAAGGTAAAAGAAAATTGGGTTAGAAATCATTTTAAAATCTCCAAAATCCTCATACAAGGTCTTGCAAGAAAAGTCCATGTTACATTACAGTTTAGGTCAGCGGTTGGTAACGTTTTTTGGTGGAGGGCTGGAATGATCTAACTCAGATTGGAGGCAAGCAAGCACTAGGACCTGGCCATCTCCAGTGCTTCTCCCGGAAGCTCAGGGGAGAGCTCCCTTTCTGCTGGAGCCTGTGCCATCCAGCTGTGGTACATCATGGGCAAAGCTCTCCGCTACTACAGCCCTGGATGCCTGATTGCAGTACAACATGGGGAGAACCCCCGTCTCCCAAAGCCATGGCTCTGCAGGCTGGATCCAAAGGCTCCGTGGGCTATAGGTCACCTAGGTAATTGCCTTTGGCCTACCTGAAAATTCCCTTTCCCTGAAAATAGCTTCACTTTGTTTTTCATATCCGGTTTTTAACAGTGTTGCTCTGCACTGCTATATTCCATTTTGGGGGTTAGATGCAGTTCATTAATGAGTAAAGATATTTCTGTTTATAGGTCAAAACCCTGCCCATCTAGTTTCATAACTATCTCAATTCAAGCTACTGAGCTACCTGCAGAAAAGGAAATAAGATTTGACTCCTAGCTTGTAAATCAGTACTTGAACCTTTTTCCTTTGCCTCTAACAGCAATGATTTATGAATAGCTCATGATAAAATGTTACCTACCCTCATATTTTTCCTGGAGGATCTTGACATAATAACTTTTAAAAATTCATCTGAATGTGTACTTGTATGTGATACTTATCTCTGCATATCTTTATTAAGGATTTCAGTTTTTTAAGTGAATAGCTAAACTTTTTACTAAAGCTTTTCATTCACCATTAATGATAGGCCAAAGTTTGAAGAAAGTAAAATCATGATAATCTTTCTTAAATAAAGCAGGATTTCTGGGAACAGTGCTATAATTGATATTTTTTACAGGTGATTTACTTTCAGAATCTGGAACCATAAGGATTTTTGTGAATTCACAAGTACTTTTGATTGTATTAAATAAGTATTTTGATCAAGATATAGTGTATAAAATATGGATTTGTATTTTGACTGCAGATTTTTCAGCTGAAAGGCATCGGTAATGGATATTCCTAATTGCATCTTAAATTATTCATGTTTTGAATGGACTTTGTGGCTAGGTTCCCTATTCTGTTTATTCTTCTGCTTTGGTTTATTGTTGTTGTTGGGTTTGAGGTTGTCCGAGCTAAAAAATACGTTTGTCAGGTAGTTAATGGGAACTTTTCAGATGAGCTGAATTCTAAACAGTGAAATGCTGTTTGGTTAAGATATGAGTTCTAGGAATGAACATCATAGTTGATTTTAGCTAGAATTGAAAAATCACAGAAATAAAATATATTGAGGAGGAAAGTAAGAAATATGCTAGTTTTTGCCCACTGCAGGTTAAATGTAGTATTTCAAAACCTGGAATTAATGTATTAATCCAGAATGGGTTTCCAGCAATAATGTTTTTATATTTCAGCCACTTGGAGCCAGTGACTATTTGGAAGTATCTGCCAATTTTGATACGGTCTTTGTTCGCAACATACCACTATTAACAATGGCACAAAGGACTCAAGCTCGCCGCTTTATTACTCTTATTGACACATTTTATGAGCACAAGGTGAGAACTAATTGTTTCAGATATACACATGCATAACATTAATATCTTTAAAACTGACTAATTTAGAAATTATGGCTTCCTATTGATTTATTTGTTAGTAACGTGAAAGTCATTCATTTCTTGTAATGCTACCATGTGCTAAAAACAAAAACAACATTCCAGAATGGTTTCACATAACACCCTAAGTCAAGAACAGTAAATATTACAATGTGTTAAAATATGTTACTAAGTCTTAAACATCAGCATAAATGTAGGTCTGGGATTATATGTACATCTTGATTAAGGATGGTTTCTGGAACAATTAAATAAATAATTACATTGACATTTTTGTCATTCTAATAATTGATGACTGTATCACTGAGCTCAGCTCCAGAATATTCAAAATAGCGTGAAAGGGACCATTTGGCTGTTTGCCTGTCTGGTAAGGATTCACAGAGTATTAAAGTGTTAATGGATTTGTTCAAACGTTATTAATTTTAGAAGAGAATATTCATTGTAGACATTAGATCAGGTTGCAGAACTGCTAATGGAATAGTAATGATAAATGTAGCACTTAACTTGGATTTACAAAGGCTTCAATCATGAAAGCAAAATCAGCACTATTAAAACAACAGAAAAAGCCATTTCTTGTTTAAGCTGATCATTTTTTTAAAAAGTAATGAAAGATATTAAGCTCCATACTATGTGTGATTACATATGCACACACTTAAATATTTATGTAATCAGGCCATATCGATTGAGACTTCTCAAGAATGTCCTGGCAAGATGATCAGTGATCACAAGGGCCCTGATTCAGCAAAATAGTTAAGCATGTACCTAACTTGAATCACACAAGTGGTCTATTGCAGTTAGTTCAGTTACTTAAAGTTATATATGGCTTTAGAAATTGTAGCTATTGTTATATTTTCTAAGGAATTATGTATACAGTAGGTTAGATTAACAAAAGCATAAAAAAGTAAAGCTTGAAGGGACCTCAAGAGATCATCAGGTCCAACCTCCTGCTTTAGGCAGGATTGTCCTTATCTAATGGCCATGTCACATTATATTTAAGACGTATTAACTGCTCTTAAAATGCAAGCATCCATGTGTTCAGAGAGTAAAACATGTGCAAAGTACAATCCTGTAGTAGCAAAGTTAAGACTTTTCATGGGAGGAGAATCTCCAGGTCATAGTAAGTAACACATGTTCAGCAGTCAGCTCCATGCAGATATCATGAATATAAGACCCTGGTGTGGTGCTGGGGCTGGGACTGACAATCAACAGATCACACATAGTATGGAGCTCGATACCAGCTGATTTTTAGTTCCAGCACCCATACCACACTAGAGTTTGTTCAAGACTGCCAATGGCAGAGACTCAGTTCACCCTGTGGATCCAGAGGTAGGTGCAGATCCAGCAGCAAAAGCAGCACCTTCTTCTAGACTTGGCTTTTCTGTGCCTCCCTCTGCCTGCTGCTAGCAGAAGAAACCTAGCTTGCCCCTGTGTGCCAGGAGCAGGTGCTCCCAGATTAGGCAGTCCTGGTTATGGAGCAGGGAGGGCATAGGCTTTGGGTATGGGGGTTGCATATTATCATGGGCAGACATGTGATCTGTGGTGTCCACTGCTGGGGTCAGTGTCAGGGATGGAGGAAGGGAAGGATAGGGGGTGGGTGCAGCAGGCTCCAGCCCTGTCCATAGTGAGCTGAGATCTTAGCAAGCATCATCATGTGCCTGCTCAGAACATGCCCCCATATAATTTTTTCTCCCTCCACCTTGATCTGCTCCTCCCCTTCCCTCCCCACAGACTTACCTGCTAGGCACACAGTAGATCTTGGGTTGCTTTTAAATTTGAAAAGTGATCTCCTACTTAAAATGGTTGGAGACCACTGTCTTATAATCTCAGATAAAACATGTGTTAAGCATCCTGTATGACAAGGCCCTAAGACAATTGCCTATTCTGTTCTTCAAAACTTTCAAGGATGACAATTCCATAACCTGTCTAGATAACGTGTTCCAATGCTTAATTCCCATCGAGTGAGAAAGCTCTTCCTAAAAATCCAACCTATATTTCTCTTGCTGCAATTTAAAATTATTACTCCTTGTCCTGTCACCTGCAGCCACAGAAAATAGTCTGTCATCAACTTCTTTGTAACCACCTTTCAGGTAAGTAAGGACTGTTATCAAATCCCTTCTCAGCCTTCTCTTCTTCAGGCTAAATAATGCCAGTTCTTCCACACTTTCTTCATAAATCACGTTTCCCAGACCTGTGATAATTTTTGTCACGCTCTGTTGGACTTTCTAATTTTATTCATGTTTATCTTGAAGTACAGCACCCGAAACTAGAAGTAGACACACCAGTCACCAGGCCTCACCATTGCTGAAGAGAGAGGAAGAATCACTTCCCTTAACTTCCATTGATGTTCATATTCACAGATTCACAGTTTAGGGCTGGAAGGGACCTTGTGGGAGCATCTGGTCCAGCCCCCCTGCTCTGGGCAGGAAAGACTGCTGGGGTCAAATAACTCCAGCAAGGTATACATCCAGTCTCCTTTTGAAGATCTCCAGGGTAGGCGCCTGCACCACCCCTGCTGGGAATCTATTTTAGAGTCTTTTCCTTATATCCAGTCTGAAACCTTCTTTGAGGAGTTTATAACCATTACTCCTGGTTTTCCCCTAAGGCGCTTTGGTGAATAGTTGTTCACCTAATCCCTGATCCTATTCCCTGATATATTTGTAAGCTGCCACCAAATCCCCCCAAAGTCTTCTCTTTTCTAGGCTGAACAGTCCCATATCTGTCAGCCTTTCCTTGTATGGCTTGCTCTTCAGGCCTCTAATCATATGAGTGGCTCTTCTCTGGACTCTCTCAAGCTTCTCCACATCCTTCTTGAAGTGCAGCATCCAGAACTGGACACAGTACTCCAGCTGTTGCCTCACCAATGCCGAGTAGAGCGGGAGAATAACCTCCTTAGCTTTGCTGGAGATGCATTGGTAGATGCATGCCAGTGTATTATTTGCTCCACTAACTGTAGCATCAGACTGGTGGCTCATATTCATATTAATACAGTACAGTATTCTTGGGAGGGGTTGTTTGTTCTTTGTTGTTTTTTTGGTTTTTTGCAACAACCCTCCAAAATGGCTTCAGTTCCAACTAACGTGGTGTCATCCTCAAATTTTGCTTACTGTCCTCTCAATCTCATCCTCCAAATCATTAATGAATAGATTAAACAGTACCAAACCCAGGGACAACCTCTGGGGAACTCTACTTGTTACCTCTTCTCAATTAGACATTGAGCCATGGATGACTGCTCTTTGAGCACAATGTCCCAGTCAGTTACGATGATGATGTTATCCTGTTCTCTGCTACCCCACCCAAGGTGAGCTTTGGACAGATGTAACTTCTAACTACGTTAAAGGGGGAGGGAGAGCTGTTAATCAAGAGAGCACATAAACTGTTACAGCGTAACTCTTACATATGCATGATCCTGTAGCAGACAGGTGAGCTCAGTTGCTTTAACTTTAATATTGAATGAAACTAGATTAAAGAGGCAATGTTTTTCTTTACTTTTTATCACCATAGGAGCAAAAAGATGTAATAGTTATGTTGTAACAGCTTATACCAGTATTACTGGATACCAGTACAATTATGGGGTCCATCTGTGACCTTGTTGTCAACCAGTTTTTATAATATATACAGTGTATACTCAGTTCATCCTCTAAGCCAGTATTGAATCCTAAACAAACTCTGCTTAATATGAGGGGTGTGCAAAGCAAGCAGTATTCGATTCAGATTCGGATTAGGCCCTGTTTAGGGGACAGCAATTCGATTCGCTGATTTGGATCACTGTCTCGATTCGATTCGGCCAAATCTGAATCTGAATATTTGATGGTGATTTAGGGAATCAGCGATTCGGGCATAGGCTCAGCTTTAGATATTTTTTCTATGTACCTCGAGGTACCAGGTGCAGCTTATGAATGCTGAGATGATGGGGCAGATGGAGCATCCCACGGGAGGTGGGGGGTGGTCCCCCGCACTCTAGGCAGTAGACCAGATTCACTCCTGGTCCACTTCTGGGTCCACTGCTGAGCACACAGGGGACCTCCCACACCCCCACGGCTTGGTGATGGGCCGCAGGGGGACCCTGGGTGCCCCCCCAGACCCAGGAGGCACCAGTCACCGAGCTTGGGGGGGTGGGTCCCCTGCGCACTCTGCAGTGACCCAGAAGTGGAATGGAAGTACTTTTGGTCCACTGCCAAGCATGCGCCCCCCGCATTCCCATGGGACACTCTATCCAGTCCACCATTTCATTGTTCATGAGCCATGCCTGGTACAGCAAGGTACGTAGGTACGTACATCAACATCAACTCTTCATCAGTCCTGAGCAAGGGTCTCCCAAGAGTTGATGTTGATGTTACGTCTCCTTCATGTTTGGCTTCAGGGTGTCTTTGAAGTGCCTTCTTTGCCCTCTGCTACTTCACTGACCTTCTTTCAGCTGTGAGAACAAGATTCTCTTTGGAAGGTGGCAGTCAAGTATGTGAAAACATGACCTGTCCAGTGAAGTTGGTTTTGGATGATCATGGCCTCACTGCTGTCAGAATTTGCTTTGGCTAAGATGGTGATGTTTGTGCATCTATCCTCCCAGCTAATCCAAAGGATCTTGCAAAGGCACCATTGGTGGTACTTTTCCAAACTCTTGCGAAGTCTTCTGTATGTGGTCCAAGTTTCTGAGTCATACAGCAGAGTTGGAATGACAGTGGTTCAATAAACCAAGAGCTTCGTTTCAGCAAGGATGTCATGATTTAAGAAGATTCTTACTGAGATGTCCAAAGGCTGTGCTCACACACTTCAATTGGTGTTGTATTTCTGTGTTGATGTCTGCCTTTGATGAAAGATGGCTTCCAAGATAAGCGAAGCAATCCATGTTCTTGAGCAAAGCGAGGGGGTGGGGGTTGTTTCTCCATTTGGAGCAGGTGGGTAAAGGACTTGCATTTTCCTGATATTTAGAATTAGGCCAATACTCTTGT